GTCTGTAACTTACAGACGAATTTTTCCGTCTTTAATTATTTACCGACGAGGATATTACAGACGGTTTATATCCGTCTGTAAATCCGTCTGTAATAGAAAAAACCGTCTGTAATGCTCTAAAAATCTGTCTGTAAATCCGTCTGTATAAACAGACTTTTTAGTAGTGTATTATTTTATTAATTATAGATAATTAAAGAAAATGACATGACAGAAAATTAAATAGTAATTTTAATAAATAAAAATGTTAAATCTGTTTTAAATTATTATGTCCAAACTTTAAAATAACCAAAAACAATTCCGAAGGAATAATTACATGTATTTTTCTTCTTTTGAGATTTGACTAATGTGTAGTCTATATCGTAGTGTAAGTTTTTTTAATTTATGCCAACAAGCTCCAGGAGTTTTTGTTTCTTGTTTCACCCTTCAATGGTGACACCAGAATGAACAACATGAGTTTCTTTTTTTTAATATAAATTATAACTATCCTTTATCCGCAGCAATTATGTAAAGAGACTTTTTTTTTTATTTAAGAAAAATTAAGTATATATTGCTTTATAGTAATCACCTGTTGATACCAAGAGGAGTTTAATAATATTGAGTAAAACTTAAAGTCATTAAGCTTTATTTTAAGTTATGTCTAAGTCATTAGAATTTTTATTTTTAAAAAATAGGCTAAGACATGATGAACACACACAAACGAAGGAACCAATTTTGAGAAGATCTTAAAAGATGAAGACACAAGGCTCACGGGTTGGCTTTAATTGCAAGTTTTGTTGAGTGGTGCATACTAGTGATAATGGCTTCTCCAGAATTGGGTATTGACTGCAGTTAGTGGGGGAAACGAAGAGAATAAAAATAAACACAAGATTGAAAAAAGGGGGCAAGGAATGTAATGCCCTTCTTTTCGGGTCTAAAGTTGAAGAATCTAAGCACTGTATTAGAAAGAAAGAGAACTTCCCTGTTAACTTTATTAACTAACCTATGGACAACACAAAAAGATCCCAAAGTTATTGTCTGCCCAGAATAATGTTTTTCTTATTTTCTATGACATCATGATTCTATTCTCCCTTTGAAGCATTTTTGAAGAAAATTATTCTTAATTAAACATTGATTATACTATTCAAGCTAAGGTATATTTAAATTTGAGTTTGAATGATTTTAATTTTACTTTTAAATTTAAAGTAATATGATTCATGTTTAATCTTGTTTTAATAAGTTTACAATATATTTGAATATAATTTTTTAATTTAACACAAAAATTATAATTTACTACACAATAACTTAATTGAGTTTAAAGGTAAAATTAATTTTAATCCAAAACAACTAAATATCAAATTTTCTTATATTAAATTTCAGCAATATAAACATAATTCTATAACATTTAAAAGTGAATCGATATATTCATTTACTAGTTGACCTATATAGGGTATATTATGATTAAATTGTACCTATTTCTAAAAGGACAGCACTATTAAATACTACTAACAACTGCAAGTTTCTTAACTACTACTTTTAACGTTTGTGAGGATTTTGTGATGCTTTCTTTTATACACCTATCATATATCATATTTCATAACTTACAACATTTTAAAAATTGTATAATAATGTTTATTCAATATTTTTTTAGTTTATTATATTATATCATCTATTATATTCGTTATATTTTTTAACTATATATATAAATTAAGATTTATTCACACTAAATGTTAAATTTAGATACTTATATTATTTAAAAACTTTTTATATACTATTCATCAATCTAACAGTTAATTCATCTTGTGATTATGTATATTATCAATTTTTATATAATTTAAATATTTTATGTATATTTTTTAAAATTTAATATTTTTATAATTTAAAAATATATTATACATTAAAAAAATTATTAAGTAATGTAAATGTTCAAGTTTAATAGACGTCAATAAATTTTAACTTTTTTTTTACACATAAAAAAATTTATTAATTATTTTTCTTTTATTGGTCACTATCCACATCATCTTCTCAATATTATTAATTAGTTGTTTGTGTAATTTACATATGTTTTTAATTTTAAAAATATAAGTTAAAAATAAAATAGAATGTACATTAATATTTGTAATAAATATTATAGTATAGATTTAACAGTAATATATAAATTAAAAATATTAAAAATAAAAAAATGAAAAATAAGTTTTTAAAATCATAATATTTTTATTAATATTACATATCAAATTTTAAAAATTAAATTTAAATTAAGATTTAATGTTATAATAATATTATGTTTTCGTTCAATTTGAAAAAGAACCTATCTTAAATTTGATAGAGTCATTCATTACTTTAAATTTATGTTAGAATTAAGAATCATATTTAAAATAGTAAAAATTTAAATACTTAATATAACAAACATTATGTCGCTTAATTAGAATAAACATAATTTTTAAAAATATTTTTATTAAAAAATAAAGACCGTGTGAGTAAGGATTTATGCTTGCAAAAGAGTTATATTATTTTCATATAAAATTCTTATATATATTTTCATTTTTTTATCATTCTATTAATTTATCTCATAGTTATTTTTTTTTCTCTAAAAATGGTACAATCTTGTTGACAAAAATAATTTTTCTTTGAAAAATGCTTAGTGAATATTATTAATTAATAATGCACTATATATATTTTTTCATAGATAATATAAAACCAAAATAAAATAAAATAATTTCTTTTGATAAAATGACATGCATTGTTACTCCTTTCATACACTAATATGATTAAGCAAAATTGATGCCACATAGTGGCAAGTTCTAGGAGTGTTTGTACTCAAACTTGTATTTTAACTTAGCAAATGAGATTTTAATATTTGTTCAAATAAAAAAGAGTTTAAATATATTATTGGTTATTATATTTTTAAAATTTTAATACTTTTTATTTAAATTCTTGTTTTTTTAAATTTAATACTTTTAGTCTATAGTGTGATGACATGATTAACTAAAAGGATGAGATGTATTATTTTTTTTTTTTATTGAGTCATGTCATTATTGTAAACTAAAAATGTTGAATTTTGAAAGATCAAGACTAAACTATTTTATTAAAGATTACAATTAAAATTTCACAAAAATATAAAAATTTAAAATATATTTAAAAAAATTTTGTATTAAGGTAATAATTTTATATTACATTGACCTACAGACTTATTTAAGATTTCTTGCTCCATATATTATTTTTTTTAAATTGTTAACAATATACTACTTGGCGCAAATTTATTATTTTATAAAATATAAAAACTAATTAAATTATATGAGCATCATTACTTCTTCTTTTAGAGAACTTGCATGAATATCACTTAATAATAAAGAGGATTCAAAAAAATAATTATTTTCATTTAACATATATGTACCATTTTAATTACATAATTAGTCAACAATATTTTTATTTTAGCTATATTTTTTTATATTTTTTTATTTTTTATCCATATGACCTCATAATAAAAAAATAAAAAAAAATGATTAAAAAGACTTATTATATAAAAATATATGAAATATCCTTTTCAAAATTTACTGAAATTTCTTACTTAGATAGAACAATATTATCTTCTTCTGAATTGTAAACCTTCAATGCTAACAATATTTTTTTAATACATTCTTTTAAATATACTTTTGAATTCTTAATTTAAATTTATTGAAAAATATAAAAATTATATGAGTCTCATTCATAATTTAATAATTTTTATTTTTTTTATAATTACTCCATTTAAATTAATAACTAATTAACGTGTGTAAAATATGGTCTTCCATTAGCTTCTCAACTTGCCTTGACTAATATTATTTGTGAATCTAATTCTAATATTATTATATCTTTTATCACTGTTTATGGTCACAAAGACTGCGTTCTCGTGCTCCTTTTGTTGATACTTTCAGAAATTTTAATTCTAATAACTTCAACTTTTTCTTGACTTACAACTTCGTAAAGGAAATTATTGTGTGGATTAGCTCGCTAAATATGATGTTTTTAATGGGAAAATGTTTTCCTTAACTTAGTTTTCTGATTTTAATTGATGTTATTGATATAACTAAGATTTGTTTGCAATTATTTATTTTTTTGTTTTCTTTTGCGTTCAATAATCCTGCATTTAAAGTTCACATGAAGATAGACAATGACATAATCGAAAATGTTTTGTGAACAACTTTTGGACAAGTTTTGGTCGTTTTTAATGTATTTTTAGAATAATAATAATAATAAATTATACATAATATTACACAATGTATTTTTTTTAATATCCAAATAACACAGGTGATGTAGAATATATACATGAAGTTTGACCTTTAAAATACACGGGCAGATACCTGGTTGAGACAGACAAAACTACAGTCAATTTGCATGCTATCAACTAAAGTTTTGCTATTTATGATGCAAACAGATCTTAGTTAAAGAATATTTTCTTTGCAAGGAAAGATGGGCACACATATTCAAAGTAATTGCTTGCAGTTATTTTCCCGTTACGAGGATGACTTGAAGTTTATTGAATAATAATGGATTAATGGTAACTGATTAGAAAAAAAAAGCAAGTAGAAAGAGCGAAGAAAAAGAAAGTATGTACGGACGGAAGTGGTGATTTTTTTTCTCTCTGAGATGCATAAAGGGTGCAACTTTCCGGATATGCTTTTTAGACTACATATAGTAACTTGTGTTATCAGCTCTGCGATCACTAGCCTAAGATAACAAAAATTTGCTGAGTATATTTCTCATATTGGAATGTGGAATAGGTAGATAAAGAGAGATTAGTAAAAGTAAAAGATGTAATATATGATGAAATAGAAAAGAAAGAAAAATAAAAAAATAAATATAAATAAAATAAATGTAAAAATATAAATGCTCGTTGAAATGACAGTAAGCTATAGTAGACTGTCGATAGAATATTATATAAATTTACTTTAGACGTATACCAATAGAAATATATATAAATAAAACTTCATTTAGAATATTGTACATTATATATAGCTAATCAAATGCTAGAAACTACTTCATACATCATTGCATAGACTATGCAATATTATGTTTAATTACTACACTATTCATTCAAGCCAGCTGTTTATTTTTCCAATAATGTAGGAGGAACATGTTTGCATCTCTTTAAGATAAAGCTCGATATGGTTTCAGAAGTGGAGTCAATGAACCACTGAGGTGGAGGGACATGACTTCATTGGTGGACCCCACCAACTTTCCTCCTATGAATACTGCGGGGACTGGTGGGTTACAACCCAACCTAGTTAGAGCTTTCTCCATTTCCTTGCCTTCAAGGTCTTTGTCAATCTCATGAACCACAGGGGTCACTCCAAGTTCTTGGAATAGAATGTTGACTGCATAGCAAAGGCAACAAGAGCTCTTGGTGAAAACCACCACACCCTTTTCTGAGGCCAACCTCATCACCTTGTCCATCTTGATAACTGATCAAATACTTCTAAATAAGCGTAGAAAATTTTGTTCTAGAGACAAAAAGCACGAAACTAAAAAAAATATGTAAAATTTGGAGTGATGTATATATGCCCTTAGATTGATTACCTTAGACTTATTAGAGCTCCAAAACCATCAGACCGAATCCAAACTGAATTCGATCTAATGGCTGTATTGGATTGGATGTCTAAGGAGGAGATATTGGAAATAGAAAACTATGAGGCTTGAGGTTATTTGGTGGTGGTATGCTAGACTATTTATAGGGACAGCTTAGGGACTGCTTTCTTAATTTGAACAAAGCACTTTCAAAAGGGGTGCTTTTTAGATGCCCAACTACATGGAATGTGACTGTCGTGTACTGAACAAGTTGGAAGACAATATTTACGTGCATATGCCTTAGTAGACAGGCTACGACACCATAACCATATAATGTAAAGACTTTCCTCAACACAGACAGATGAAAATAATATCTTCCAGTGACGAAGTTAATGCAATTCATTTCAGTCAGCCGTACACCACCATTAATCATTAGTGGCCTTTTCTTATTAGGTGAACTTGTTGCATATATCAAATATAGCTGTGTTTATTATCACTTGTACGTATATATTATTACTCTTTTTTAAATAATTTTTATTAATATTTTTTTATAATTATATTAATAGTAAGAATGTTTTATATCAAAAAATTATTAAATAAAACTCACAATAAATTAATACTCTATAACACATCTTATTTTACTACAAATAATATGAAGTTGCTTTCATAGAATAAATATATAACTTCATTTTACATGGATTAACGAAGTTAACACATTGTATTGAAACTTGTATTATTTTTGTATAAATAAAAAAACTCATTTATTCACTTAAGAGGAATAACCTTGACAACCTCAAATAATATTTAAAGATAAACCATGGACCTGTAAATTGTTGTTAATGTTTACCTATAGATTTTGTGGGCCTTTTTGTTGGGTTGGACTCCTAACTATGTGTCAAAAAAGTCTAAATTTTCAAGCTCATTTTCTACACTTAATTGAAGGGAGTGAGAAGTCAGTGGATTGGGTGAGGGAAGTCCATTTTCGCAGTCTAGTGTGAGTATTTTCGGTGAGAGGCATCAAAAAGAGAGAAGGGAAGTGAGGGAAGAAAAGAAGTTTCAGACCAGTTACTCTATTTTTTTGATATCCGATTCGTTCACCGTTGGATTGGGCTAAAAATTTTACAGCAGGTTTATAACACGGTGCTCTTCGTTCTAACCGTTCGGATGGTTGATTGGAGGTCTGAAGTTGGAGATATTGTCTTCGCACAGAAGCCCTGTTTTTGGTGACTCTGCACAGACCAGCTGCTGAGAAATTGTTATTTCTCCTTAGTTAACCGTTGGATTGAGCTGAAACTTTGACAGTAGTTCCCAGACATATATTTCTTCATTCTGACCGCTGGGATCGTTGATTGGAGGTTTTGGCTGAGAGAAATCGTGTATGAACATTGTGAGATTTTCTCTCTTTGGTTAGGCTTTATTGCTTGGTTGTATTAGCTGGTTGTTTGCACGAATTTGTGCAGTATTTTGAGACTCTTTTGTAGCCTCATTTGATTATAGTGGAGCTTGATTGACTGGCTTGAGCCCGTGGGTTTTCACTTCTCACATTAAAAGGGTTTTCCCACGTAAATAATTCTCTGTGTCCTTGTGTTTGTTGCTGCCATTTGTTATTGTTGTTGCTACTTACAGGTTCTAGTTTGCGGAATTGTTTCCGCTGCTCACTTTTGATAATTGTGTTCTTGTGTTTGGTTTTCCCCAACACTTTTTACCTGTCATCAGGGCTCTCCATCTGTTTTTCTAGTTCTTAAATTTTTTCTCCCTCATCTAATACAACATTAAATATCATTTATGTTACTTCGACTTTATTCTTTTGTTTACCTTTTATCACTTAACATTCAGTTAAAACAACTAGTGCATACTTTATGAAAATAATAATAAAATTCTCTGAAAACGCAAAAGGCAACAAAAGTGTAAATACTGGGGTGCTGGTCAATTTATACCAGATTGAAGATTCTCATTATCAACCGCTTTGAATCCTTACGCAGAACCAGAAAGATGGGGACTGAGATGGCCTTAGTGGGACTCTTGTGTCCATCAATTGCGGGGACTCATAGAAAGATGCAACATTGCGTAATGCTCTCATATGTGCAGGGAAGCACATGGATGAACATACACGTGTACGGTTAGAGTGAATAACCCTTTCCCTTTCATGAGAAGAGAGAATGAATGAATTCTCTTCCTTTAGCAGGCGATCGAACAAAAGAAGAATTTCATCATTCCATGTGTCTACCAATTTAACCGCATACAGCATCAAGAGTCCATCGGGTATATATATACCTGCAGAAAACATTGTCTAGCATAGACATGATAGTTTATTAGTTTTATTTTATATAGGTTAGCTATGTAATTAATATGTAACATATTATATAAATTTGTAGCTTAAGGATTAATATTAATTATTGTGCATGGTTGACTGCACGAAGTGCTCATGCAGATAAGTTATTTTAGAAAACAGTACCTATCAAAGAAAATCATCATGTTATATATATGGATATGGAGGAATAATTGACGCATAAATAAAAGTGCTAGCATTATCTTTTTATCTCAAGCTTAGCAAGGCGCCATGCACGTCCTGACTACGAAGTTCAAATATATATTGCTACACCTTATGTTATGCATCGATGAGATGAGATAATCTCTTGCACCAGGTACTCAAATTGAATGGTTAGAAATATATACCTAGTTATCCCTTATAAACACTTAAAAGTTGGAATAATAGTGATTTTATTTCTGTATGTTGGCTGTCATGTGACGAGGGGGATTATTCCTTTACTGCAAGTGGGGGAGTTTTTTTTTTTTTTTGGTATATAAAAGTTTAGGTGAAAGAAGACACACTGATGTCTTAAAGAGTGGTAACTGAAAATAAATAAACTTTGATCTATACAAGTATATAAATTAAAAGACAATTTCTTCTGAAAATAACTAAAATTCTTGTATTTTTTTTTTCAGTTGTTGAGGGTAGGACCTAGACTTATCAACTTGGCCCTCCCATCTTAGCATACCTGCTTTTAAGGTTAGGATTAACCGCTCAATCTAAATCTCGCTCATTTCTTAAAAATGAGTCATCTAGTAAAAAGATTAATAAATTGGAGAAAGACTGTTACTTTTTAACTCTGTCCCATTTTTAATTAAAAGGATGTGTAAAAGAGAACATGAAACAGGAAGAGATGACTTTTATCTTAAGTCACCAACCTTAACGAGAATTTATGTAGTGAATCACATTATCTCTTAACAAAAAGTGCTTCAACCTTTTCTTACTCTCGTATTAATAGGGTTGCAATTTCATCTAATAATAATCATACTGTTAAAAAAAGTCAAATATTATTATAAACAGGTTTCCAAGTGAATTAACAATATAATTAGTATACATGAAAATGAATAATATATAGGTTCTCTTGAGATATAACTTAAGTGGTTAAGTTGCAAATTTTGAATCATAAATGCATCTTACTTTTTCATTAATTTGTTCCTTTTATCTTTTTTGTAAGGCTTAATATGTGCTTTTCTTTAGATTGAAAAAAGGAATAACACGAAGGTTGAAGAAATAATTCTTATAACTATTTCAAATTGAAATAATCAAGACAAGTCTTGTTTTTTGTCGATCAGATGTTCTACACGTGCAAAATATAAATATATATCACTGGGGTGTTGGGCCTGTTGTGGTGGACTTACATAATTTATTATACGAGGTTGAATTTACAGTAAAAAAAAATTGCAAGACTATTTTTGTCTACGCGTTTTTATTTAGAAGTATGAGTTCCAAAATACCTTTTACTTAGTATGCTTCTTTCGAAACGTCCGTTTGATAAAATGTACAGAAAAAAATACAGTCGATTTGGTAGCTAATCATGGTTTAGGTTGCAATTATGCAGTAACTGGAAGCCAAGTATATGGTGAATAATATAAACTGGGCCTTTAAATTAAGCTGTATTTTTAAACCAACCTACTACGTCAAAAGTGTTGTTTGAGTTTGGCTATTCACCTTCAAATATTACGGTGTTGCTTGTTCTACGTTAGTGAAAACTTGTTGGATAAGTGGGTGAGTTTTTCATCGGAGCTTATCCTTCAATATGCTATGGTGTGATGGATTGATCAAGTGTAACTAAAACATGTTTTCTTCCACGTATATATTTCGAAATTCAAAAATAAATCGGAGACCGAGAAAGTTGAAAGTGGATGCATTAACTAGAGAGAAGAGCAGTTAATTCTCTCCCGTATGATAAAGTTTCATAACATGGTAGGCATTAGCTATATAGTATAAGCCAGCCTTTGATAAAATACCAAAAAAGCAAGACTACTTTTTACACATACTTCCTCTTTCATACAAGCTAAAGAGGACACTCAAGAAAAAGAAGGGGTGTCCCTCACTTAGAACATTGTTTGAGCTCCTTCATTTTACAGCTACGGAGCAATAGCTTCTTATTATTCAAGTTCATGTTGTGACTAAAACCATATGGCCTTTGCAGCCATGAGCATTTGTTTGAGAGAGCCATCAACATGGAGGGATATAACATCCTTTGATGACCCTATAAATTTTCCACCTATGAACACTGCTGGCACTGAAGGGTTACAACCCATACTCCTTAAAGCCCACTCCATTTCCCTACCATAAGCATCCTTGTCAAGCTCATGCACCGCAGGGCTTGCTCCAAGCTCATAAAACAGTTGCGTGATGCTGTGGCACATGTAACATGAACTCTTGGTAAATATAACTGCAGCCTTCTTTGATGCCAAATCCTTTACTCTATCCATTACTTCAAGTTCCCTTAGCTTAGCTCGTAATCAAAGGAATATAAGAGCAAGGAATTGAAAAGGATGAGTGTGTTTCTAATTAATTAAGGCTTTGTTCTCCTTGGTGGCTTCAAGCTTTCATATCCTCTTATTTATAGTGGTTCACAATGATAGTGGACTAGTGCATTGTATAATCTAGAAGCGTAGAGAAATATATATAAATTAATTATAGGTAATAAATGGATAGAAAAGATAAAGGAAGAAATTAAAGTTCCTTCAGATATTTGTTTGGATAAGAGAAATGCTCCCTGATCATTTGGTTGACGGTGACTCTGACACGAAACAAGTTGCAGCATTTAGCATCAAAGTGTAATTGATAATTCAAATCACTCGGGCTTCCCGTACTAGCAATCAATGGAGGAATAAGAACAATGTGTATAATTTATTAGACTGAAAAACTCTTTCGGTCCTGGTTCGCAGCATCAAGACGATTATTCTATAATATTAATTTATTCAAACTTCTCTGAGGCAGATGGCACAAAACAATGTTGCGTTGTCAACACAATCAACCGAAAGAATGGAATCCTATATCCAATTAGAATTAGTATTATATTATATCTATATGCTATAAGTCAAAGGCCTGGGAAGAGTTACAAGTGTCATGTGCATGGGTATTCATTCACAAAGCGATCAAGCATATACATCACTACTATCATGGCAAAGCTTACCCTACCCTTTTTTTTAATAAAGAAAGATAATAATTATCAACAAAGGGTCGATTAAAATGAATTAAAATTTAAAAAAGAGAGGAAAGTAAGGAAAACGATTATGTTAGTAATTTAGATTTAATCGATTCATTTGTCTTTTGAGGTGATAAATAATATGCTCTTATCATGTCTTGCTCTCTTATGTAAAATGTTGCAATTGGTTGAGTATGAAGCTGGGTTGTGAGGCTGATGTGGAGAAAGATTAGTGTTTATCCAATTGGTTTCCAATTTGGTCCCCGCATCAGATTCATGGAATACAAAAACAGTGCCAAGGTCCAACAATACTATGTGCATATGGCCCTTTGGGTATGGAAGGGATCCTTGAGTAATCTTCTTATACACCTTTGGTACAGTGGTCAGAGATGTCATGAAAATTACAATGCTGTTATATAGTTTCGTGTGATTTTTCATGAATGATCTCAACTTCCAAGGGTATAAATTCTTTGGCTGGCAAGCTGTTCCGAGCATCCTGTTTACTTTGCCAGAATCCTTGTTTCATAAAGAATGTAAGAGAAATTGCTGGTAAGACTTTTTTAATGTACTTTTTAGTTAATATATTTTTTATTGAAATTTATTAGTACTTGCAAAAAGAATATAAGAAGGTAGGTAATAAGGATAGAGTAAATCTTCAGATGAATAAAATAAGAAGGAAATTAACAGAGAAAAGCATAATACAAAATCGGAACTGTTTATAAAATTATAAGTAATATTCTTTAAATGAAAAAAATCAGGTCATTTAATAATTATTCACTTTATCACTGTTTGTAAAAAATCATCTTAACAAATGTCATAGTTAAGGGAATTAGTTAAAGGATAAAATGTTTAGCAAAATAATATAGTTAATATGTTTTATTTTGGGTTTTTAACGAATTAATATTTTAAATATACTCTCTAACATTTGACATTTATTGAAAGAGAATGGAATATCAACTTGACAATAAGAATTTGCTGGGTATAATTTAAGAATATGGTGAGATGAAATGGATCCATCTCCATGTTTGGTTAAGCTATGATGGGAATAAGAAATCATTCCTGCAATGTAGAGACACACATTCTATCACAAGTTATGGAATCTCTATTCCACTTCACTAAAATAAAGGTATCAGAAATGCCTTAACCCATCATCTCTACTTTTTTCAATTCAAAAATTATTTTTAAAATTTTTATTGGCTTGAGTCGCACCAAAAACTAAGTCTTCTTTAATTTGAACATCGCAAATTATTTTTTTCATCAACTATATCATTCTAAACATATTATTCTTACCATACCAAACAAAACTTACGCATCTACCTACCAACATCTAAATTTAAAAAGGAAATTGTCCCAAGCAAAGAACCAAAGGGCCTTAAAAGAAAGATAGATCTCTACCCATATTGTGGGTCCATTTCAATTTTCAAGTAAATTTTTTATTTGAAATGCACTAAAAATATGGGAGAATAATTTAAATATGGTAACAGGTTAATAGAATACATAAAATATGATATTTTTTGTAAAAATACGTAAATATGGTGTTCCAAAAAATGCCATTGGCGATTTTTACATGAAACAAAAAAAACTTGCAAATTACAGACTTGAATGACCTGAGTCTGAACTCTCAGGCGCCTGAAAACTCGCCACCAGCAACCTTTGAACGCCATTAATGGTATCTGAATAAACTACAACACTTCTACAACAACTTGAACGCCATTAATGGAGTCTGAAGTCTCTGAAAAATCGCCAATGGCGATTTTTGACCCCGTAAAGCTTGTTTCACTTGTAACTGTAGATGTTCACGCTTGCCTGCATCTCTCAGATCTGAAAAATTGCCACTGGCGACCTTTGCATCAAGAATCTCTGAAAAATCAATATTTCATCCGTCTCTGTAGATGTTCACGCTTGTCAGGCATCTCTCAGATCTGAAAAATCGCCAATGGCGATTTTTGCTTCAGGAATCTCTGCAAAAATGACTGTTCTGCAAGCATGTGTAATGGTGGAGTCAAAAATCGCCAGTGGCGAGTTTTTGTGCTATAAATGGCACTCCAGTTGAGCAAAAATCATGCACGAAGAAGAGAGGCAAAGTGAAACTGTGTAAGGGTTCTGAGAGGGTTCTAAGAGAGTTCTGAGAGGGTATTAAAGAAGGATTTCAGAGAAGAAAAAGGAAGGGTGATCTGTGAGGTTGAAGAAAGGTGAAGAAAGATTAAAAAAAAATATTGAGTGTAATTTTTTTTAATTTATTTTTGAAGATGGTTAGAGATTTTACTTTGAATTCGAGGATGCATATTTCAGAGAAAATCCGCAATTTAAATGTAAGTTTAATATTTTGATTAATTTTTAAATTTAATTTTGAATTTAGATTTGATATCAATTTTGGTAAATATATTTATAATTTTGAGTAATTGAGAATAAAATCTGCATTTATTTATATAGTTAAGTTAAAATTGTAAAATAATTATAATTAGTTATTTTATATGTCTTAACATAATTATTAAATTTAATTATTTTTAGAAAAATGACATAACAATTATTTGTTAGTATACATAGTTACTTAATATAAACTTTGAAATATATATTTACAGTAATATAATAAATTGTTATTATTTTAATAAATTTGGAAACAAATTATATTGAGTAATAATTGAAATTATTTAATATAAAAAATTAACAAAACATAGAGTCTAAAAATGGATATATAATAAAAGCATATTTATTTTACATGTACCACAAATAAATTAAATTAATTTCTGTAATTAGTGTTTTTGACATTTATTAACATATTCTAAAAATATTATAAATTAGTTAAAAAAATGTAATTTATTTGATTTTGTATAATTAGTTAATAAATATAATAATTTATGACATATTTATTATACTGCAAAAATTTATGTTATATTTGTAATTATTTTTAGTCAATTTAAAACAAGTTTTTCATATATTATTAATTGAATATGTTTAATATAAATAAGAAATAAGAAAAAGTACGACAAGTTAGATAAAATTCTATTTCTAACATTCTATTTGTATAAATTTTATGATAATGAAATTGTTTATGTTATATTTGTAGTTGTGTTATTATTATTATTATTATTATTATTATTTTATTTTTTGTGAGACTAGAATTGTATTATTATTTAGTTATAATTAGTTAGTAAATTTAATAACTTAAACTTGTTTTATATTTTTTGTTTATAAATTTGACATAATAATTTTGTGTGAACTAATATAAATTTTTTATGACAAGAGATGAGACAATTACGTTCTCCCCACTTATCCATATTGCCACCTAGAGAAGAAATGACATATTACGCAATGCTGGGTTTGATTAAGTTTCTAAAATTTGTCATATGCAAATAAACGGTCCTTTGATTAATGCACTTGTCGAACGTTGGAGGACTGAAACACACACATTTCATTTACTTTGCGGAGAATGCGCAATTACATTAGAAGATGTTTGTATGCTACTTGGACTCCGGATTGATGGTCTACCAGCGATTGGGTCCACTAATCCCTATTCTGCAGTGGTTCAAAACATGTGTGATGAGTTATTAGGGAGTCGACCGTCAATGAGTGATATTGAAGGATCAGAAATTAGATTAAAGTGGCTTATAGAACATCTTGGTTGGCTTCCTGTTAATTCTGACATTAGAAGAGCACAACATGCACGTGGATATATACTTAGTTTGTTGGGACATGTCTTAATGCCAAATAAAAGCAATTCAGTGATACATACAATATTTCTACAATTACTAGCACAGGTAAATGAAATTGGGAATTATAGTTGAGGTTCTGCATGCCTTTCATTTTTTTATAGAGGTTTAGATCGTGGTTCACGACATGATGCTAGAGAAATTTGTGGGTGTATAATATTACTACAAGTATAGGTATGGCATTGACTACCGTGGTTGGCTCTAATCCCTGGTGAACCAATAATATTTCCACTTGTTCTCAGATGGAGAAAAATACAATATCCAGCAAACTCACCATTTAAGAATATTGGTAGTATTAGATTAACTTTGGATCGAATGGGTGTTCATGAGGTAAATTATTATAATATTCTTGTAATTGTTAATACCGTTAATTTCTATATGTAACTTATAATAAATAAATATTTGCTTATTTCATGCAGTTTCTATGGCGATCATATGAGGATGATGATATTGATGCATTAATTCCAGATAATGTGAGAAGAGAACGTTTTGTATGGTCAACTATAAGGCCCTTGATTTGTTTCAAAGTTATAAAGTGGCATGCAGCTGATCGTGTCATGCGACAGTTTGGATATGCACAGTCTACCTCAACCACCTGAAAGTCTGGAGGGGGTTCATAACAAAGACTTGCGGGGATTAAGAGAACCAAAGAATTGGAG